CCCTTCTGCACCCGGAGGCGCCTGGCTTGAGCCGGGACCGAGGCAGCAGCACCCTCCCTCCCGGGGCAGTGGGTCTGGGTCCGAGGCGCCGGCACAGAGCAGCATGTGTCGAGTGACGTCCCCTCGAGCCATTTAGGGCTCTGGCCTCAGCCCCGTCGTCGGAGCTGAATGTTCTGACGATCGCATGTGTAGCAACTCTCGTTGGCATGACTTGGTCTCTAAGCCGGTGAAAGAAAGAGAAAAGAGTCACACGGCGACCAGGAGGGAGACATTAAGTTGTGGGCTCGCTGTTGACTTTACATTCGGCTTTTCCTGGTGGGTTTTCAGTGAACAGCTCGCGTAAAAGGAACCGGGTGGAAGTAACAGTGTTGAAAGGGCACGTTCGTCCTCCAGCCCTAGTCGACCTCGGGATCAAGCAAGGGCTGTGGCCAGAAAAATGAGCCCATGCTTTTAGGGTCCAGCCACGTGATCCACTTTTCATAGTCCGATCTTTGCCTTAGTGGTCCTTTGACCAATAGCTGTAATTGATCGAATGGTATGTGCTTTACAGGATGAAGATGAGTGGAAGGAATTTGAGCAGAAAGAGGTGGATTACAGCGGCCTCAGAGTTCAGGCAATGCAAATAAGGTATGGTCTTGTTACAGACATGTTCAGATCACCCTTAGGATAGGGGGTGTATGTCTGGCTTTTCTTTTAGCCCCCAAACAGCATCATAGTAGCCTTGCGCTTTAGATATGCTCATTAGGGCTCTAATAGATGGTGCCTAGTCCTTCTCTCTGTGATGGCAGTCATTCTGTATGTTGATCGGAATAGCTGCCAGCTCCAAAATCCTGAGAGAGCTTGCCTACTTCCAGCCCTGGTTAGGTTTTTTTATTTTTATTTTTTATTTGAGACAGCTAAAGTTGATTTTGTGGTTTCAAACTATTTACTTTTTTTTTCCCCCAAAGTATTTCTTTTAATATTGGTGGGTTGAACTCAGTTTTTCTGTGCGTTTCGAAAATAACATGGATGGTTTTCAGGTCCTTTCCAATAAGCAGGTGAATATGTATTTTTGTAATTGAAGCATTCTTACAGAGAAGTACAGGTTTTTTATATTCACACAGTGGAACCAACCTGTGTAATCAGCACCAGAGTCAAGAAACTGAACATTAGAAAGCTCCCCTCCTAACCCTTTGTAGCCAGTGCCTTCACCCCGCAAGGATAACCACTCCTAACGCTATAGATTAACTTTCCCTAGAATTTCCTAGGAACAGAATCAAACATGTTATTTTTACAGTTTAAGAAAACAGTAATTTTTTTTTTTTTAATCCTCACCAGAGGACATTTTTTCCATTGATTTTTAGAGAGAGTGGAAGGGAGCGAGAGAGACAGAGAGAGAGAGAAATGTTCAAAACATCGATGTTAGACAACAATTAGTTGCCTCCCTCACGTACCCCTACATGGCCACGATAGAACCTGCAAACCAGGTTGACTTGGAATAGAACCCCTTGGGCCAATGCTTTAACCATTGAGAAACACTGGCCAGGGCAAGAAAACAGTAATTTTTAAAAACTGGATTGGTTGAATTTTAGAAGATTTGAAACTAAGAAATATTTTATGGCTTGGCCAGAGTGGCTCAGTGATTGAGTGTTGACCTATGAACCAGGAGGTCACAGATTGATGCCAGGTCAGGGCACATGCCCAGGTTGCAGATGCATTCTCCAGGAGGCAACTGGTCAGTGGTTCTCATCAGTGATGTTTCTATCTTTCCCTCTTCCTTCCTCTCTGAAATCAATAAAAAATAGATGTGTGTTTTTTTTTAAGTCCAACCTGTGCGGTCATTTTTAGATTCATGTAAATAAATGTAGGAAAAACAAATGAATATAGGCTTCCATTAGTTTAAGATTTAAAACCCTTTAATCCCAGTTTGAAGTTGGCAATTACTGATGCCAGTGACCACGTGGCACAGTGGAGAAAATAATTTTCCTTAAAGAAATAATGTCTTTTCACCTCTTTAGATGGTAATATTTATGGCCTTAACTCATTCAAAAACCAGGGCTAATTTTGACATGTGTTGAATATCTACCACAGTTAGGTATTAATGTCCGAGCTTCTTCCACATCATTTCCTGAGCTTAACCAAAGTGAAACCTGATTGATGATGGGAACTTTGAGGAACTGCAGCTTCTCCACTCTTGGTTCTTCTGTCTTGGTGTGAAGTAGCAGTGATTAGACTGGAGTTTTCTCTCTTAGCCGTTTGGGTGTGTGGAACTTCCTGTGTGTGGGGTTCCTGTTTTGATGTGGAATAAGGCTCTTGGTCTGCCTCTTCTGACTGCATATTCTTGGAGGAGACTTGAATGACTGGAGGCATAGTGTTTGCTCATGTTGAACTTTAGCAAGAGTAGCAATTTTAGAGGGAAAAATGTTTCAAGTTAATGTTAGACATTGACTTTGTTATATTATGGAGTATTTTAAACTGCACCTATTTTTGTCGTTGAGTATATATCCCATATCCATATTCAAGGCTATTTTAGTCTTCATTTCGGCTACTCCCGAGATGGTGAAACATTTTTTAAATTACAGTCAAACCTCTGTTGTTGAACAAAACTTCAGGCTTCAGTTCTCAAGGGGACAACCCTTTCGTGCCGATTATTCAATACATACAATAAGTCTCCATAAGTTCTAAGAAGGTTAGTGATAGCAGCAAAGTGAAAAGAAAAGTTGTGAGAACAATACTTGAGCTTAGATAGGTACTGTACGTAAGAAAGGTTAAAAAGGAATTATTTGAGGGTCTGGAATGGATTAATTCAATTTACATTATTTTTAATGGGAGAAAAAATTATTTGGGTTTTCTAACAAGTCGCTTCTTGAACAGCCAGAACAAATTAGGTTCTAGAACTGAGGTTCCACTGTACTTACATCCTTCACCTTTGCCGGGGGCATAAGTAAATCTCAGCTAGGATGAGCGTTTAAGTTCTGCTTGACCTGAAGTAGACCAGCTTTTATATTGTGTGTTTTTCATTATTCTTACCATCTAGTCACTGCCCCTAAGTGGCCATCCAGAGGTCTTCCTCTAACCTACTAACATTGAAAAAACTATCTGCTTCAAGAAGCTGCTTTTGTGGATCCTCAGTCACTATGGAGTCTGGGGTCTGTATTTGCATTTTTATAAATCATTCAGTAAAGGGAAATCTGACAGCTCCTGGGGAAGGCTTGAGAGTGAAAAGCCATCTGAAGTTTAATAACAGGGACTAAGATTGTCACTTTATATTCAATACCCTTATAAACTGCAAATTAAATGTTCTTGACCATGGAACTCGATAGGGTCGCCAAGGAAAGACATGTTTCATCCATGGGATGGAGTTGATAATATGGCAAAAAGATGGACTTCAGGAGAAAGAAAAACCTGGGTTTGCATTTTACTCCTGCTTGTGTGTGACCTTGGACAAGTCACTTTATTTTTTTTGTTAATCCTCACCCGAGAATATTTTTTCATTGATTTTCAGGAAGAGTGGAAGAGAGAGGGAAAAACTGAGAGAAACATCGATGTGAGAGAAACACATCGATTGGTTGCCTCCAGTTGCTCCTGCAGAAGCCCCGACCAGGGCCCAGGCTGGGGAGGAGCCTGCAACCAAGGTACATGCCCTTGACCAGAATCAAACTCGGGACTGTTTGGTCTGCAGGCTGACGCTTTATCTACTGAGCCAAACTGGCCAGGGCTATTTTTGAATGTTGGTTCTTACCTGCAAGACTGGGACGACTACTCAAGTGTGCTCTGAGGACTTTGAACAGGATATTTGTAAAATACCCACTTAATTAATATTAATCAAGATAAGTAGGTAAATAGAATGACTTACTCTTGGGAATTTCTCTGCTGTTTAACCACAAGGCACCTGATTTATAAAACTCAAATTAGAGGAGAAGGAGTAGTGAAGTCACATAAGGTTATCATGACTAATCATGTCAGACTCCAGTTAGTCAGTTCACTGTGGACATAGTAGGAGAAAGTGACATGTTCGGGTTGGCGTTAGTATAACCATGCAGACAAAAATCCCTCTGAGTGTTCACTGTTACCTTTTCAATGTACGAGAGAGGCAGCCTTGCTATCTCAATATGGAATAAGGAAAATGAAACATTGGAATTTGACTGAAAATATCTTGAAAGTTGCCCTGGTCTGTGTGGCTGAGTTGGTCAGAGATCATCCCATACACCAAATGATGATGGGTTCGATCCCCAGTTGAACACATGTGCAAGGCAACAGATCGCTGTTTCTCTCTCCCTTCCTCTGAGATCAATTAAATATATATCTTGAAATTTATAGCTTATAGTCTTTTTTTTCTTCCAACTCTTTGCTTTGGGAAATTACAAACTTCAGAAAAGTTGCAGGAATAGTAAAAAAAAAAAAGTACCCTTATACTCTTTGCTTACATCTGTCAATCTTTTTTTAAAAAAATATATTTTTATTGTTTTCAGAGAGGAAGGGAGAGGGAGAGATAGAAACATCAATGATGAGAGAGAATCATTGATTGTGTGCCTCCTGCACACCCCCTACTGGGGATCAAGCCCACAACCTGGGCATGTGCCCTTGACCAGGGTGGAACCAGTGACTTTTCAGTCTGCAAGCCAATGCTCTATCCACTGAGCGAAACCAGCTAGGGCTACCAATCGTTTTTGCCATATTTGCTTTATCTTTAGTTAGTTGCAGATATTGATCTAGTCTTGAAGTACTTGACACTACATAGTAGGTTAGCAAGTTGGACCTTTATTGAAGACTAGAGGTCCAGTGCAAGAAATTCCTGCACAGGTGGGTCCCTAGGCCTGGCCAGGGCCTTCCTTCATTCCGCGCCACCACCTGGTGGTCAGCACACATCATAGCAAGCAATTGAACTCTGGTTGAACTCTTGAGGGGACATTTTGCGAATATACACACACACACCAGAGGCCCGGTGCACGAAATTCATGCAAGAGTAGGCCTTCCCCCGGCTGCCGGCACTGGCTTCCCTCGAAGCCTGGTCTAATTAGCATATTACACTTTTATTATTATAGCTATAGATAAGTGTTCATTTGAAAGGAGGAAAATTTCAGTAGCAACAGACATACTGTATTAATGTCCTAGCTCACATTTACTAACTAGTCTGAAATTTAAGTACCAAGAGTATTATAAGGACATGTATCAAATTTTGTGTCTAAATAGATTTTATTCAGAGTCATGCCATTATAGATAAGTTCTTGAGAGGGAAGCCATTGAGATGATGATTGAAGGGATCTACCACTTGAACTTAGATTATTGGTTGATAGTAGGATCTGTAGGCCTTTCCCATCTTTAAAATGGATCTTTAGGAGAATGAAATATTTCATTTAGTACTTGAGGTTACTAAATGTTGAGTGTTTAAACCCATTCAGTAGGACTGGTTAAGTTGTCCTTTGAAGAGAAGAAATTGCTTCTGCATCCAAACTAGATCTATTGTAGCAAATTTGTGTGACTACTATGTGTGCCACACATTGTGGTCGTAAAAATAGCTCATGCTCTACTAAACACCAGTAGATCATTTCAGTGATATGCAGGGTGCTGTGGGGTACAGGAGAGAGACACGTAGTCTACCATGAAGAGGTAGAGAAAGAGTCCTTGCATGAGGTGCAGTGACATTTACGCCACCAGGCATATCTGTGGGGCCATTTCTATCTCCCTGTTTTACTGTTGTAACAGTTGCTGGATAATAGTGTCAAACCAGTGGAGATGCCCAGCATTCCAGCAAAAGCACGGTCATATCTGGATTTTGTTTTAGCTGCTTCTCCCTAGTGTTGGGGAAGGGGGTTTAAGGACACATAAATTCTCATGTAATGTCCTTTGAGATAAGGAGGTAAGAACGTTCTGTTCTTTATAAATATACTGCTGTGGGATGTATAATCCTGAACAACCTTATTAAAGAAAGTGAATTCCTCAAATCTCAAAATGAAGAATTTCTGTGCCCTACCTTAGAACTGTAAAGAGGATAAAATGAAATAAGAGACTACCTGAAAGCATATGCCCTCTGGAGTCCCATTGACTTGGCTCTGCTACTTTGTAGCCCTGGAAAATGTATTTAAATGTCTTGAGTATCAGTTTCCTCATATGTACAATGGGTTTTCTCCCTGCTTTGTGTTGTTTCCGGTTTAACTTTGTAAAGTCGGTAGAAGGCTGCCTGGCATAGTAGATATTCAGTAAATATTCCTTTTCTAGCACCATCATTCTCCCCTACCCCACAATAGTGCCTTACAGACATGCATATTTAAGACAGTATACTTTGTGAATTTCGATACTGAAATAACAATAATATCATAGTGTTTAAAATCATCAGATTTAGCTGATGGAAAGCTATATATTATATGTGGGTCAGACACAGAATTTTAGCCTAATTGTGTTTGCAACATGGTTCTTGTTCTGGCTTTGGTATTTGGAGATTGGACATTTTCTGAAATATGTAAATATAAAAAAAAAATAGGATATTTAAATAATTTCTACCCTGAAATTTAAGTACCAAGAGTATTATAAGGACATGTATCAAATTTTGTGTCTAAATAGATTTTATTCAGAGTCATGCCATTATAGATAAGTTCTTGAGAGGGAAGCCATTGAGATGATGATTGAAGGGATCTACCACTTGAACTTAGATTATTGGTTGATAGTAGGATCTGTAGGCCTTTCCCATCTTTAAAATGGATCTTTAGGAGAATGAAATATTTCATTTAGTACTTGAGGTTACTAAATGTTGAGTGTTTAAACCCATTCTGTAGGACTGGTTAAGTACTGTGGCATTTTGGCAAGACTCTCAGCATCTCCCTCTGTTGGATGAAGGGTCTTGACAATTTCCAATGTTTAGCTTAGCTAATACTTCAGAATCTTAAGCCAGAATACTAGGTTTTCCTTTTGTGCCCATTATAGATTTGCAGTCTATCTAATTAAAGCAGATCACTCTTATTTTTTAATAAGATTATCATCTAGAAGTAATTTTAGATTCTATGATTATTTCTTCACTTTTCTCGGAGGGTAAAGAGGTGATAAATACTAGACATAAAAGAATTTGTTTTTACTTGGGACTCTCGGTATTCTGTCAGACCAAACGAGAAAAACAATATGTTTTTTATTATTTTTATTTATTTATTGTTATTGATTTCAGAGAGGAAGGAAGAGGGAGAGAGATATAGAAACATCAATGATGAGAGAGAATCATTGATCAGCAACCTCCTGCATGCCCCACACTGGGTATCGAGCCTGCAACCCAGGCATGTGCCCTGACCGGGAATCAAACTGTGACCTCCTGGTTCATAGGTCGACACTTACCCATTGAGCCACACTAGCTGGGCTACTTTTAACATTTTAAAGGTCATTCTAGATGTCTTTCTATTTTAAGTGTATGTATAAGTTTTATTTTAGTAAGTTATGACATGAATATTACTTCCCTGTTAGTATAGGCGTAACATTTTTTTTAAATTTTTTAAATTTTTTATTGTTTTCAGAGAGGAAGGGAGAGGGAGAGGGAGAGAGACAGAAACATCAATGATGAGAGAGAATCATTGATTGGCTGCCTCCTGGACACCCCCTACTGGGGATCGAGCCTGCAACCCAGGCATGTGCCCTTAACTAGAATCGAACCTGGGACATTTCAGTCCGCAGGCTGACCCTCTATCCACTGAGCAAAACCAGCCAGGGCTAGGTGTAACATTTTAAATGGATTCATAGGATTCTTTGTTAATGAAAAGGAAAACTGAAGGGTCACTTGGCCATATCTTAAGTAAAATCCTGCTCTAAATGCAGATTGAAGATACAGTTCGTTTGTTCCCTTCTCCCCTTCCTGATTGCCAGCCTAAGCCTGAGTTCTAGAATCACCTCCAGTTGGTGGACAATTCATAAGTGTCTTTAAAGGAGTGCAATAGATATCCAAGAAAATTGTTTTATAGCCAGGACTTGTCTTGTTTTAAAAGAAATGGAAGGAGAGCACCCTTAGATGTTCTTGTACAAAAGTCAAGAGAGGCCGAGATTTTCGAAGGTCATATAGTCAGCGTGGGAGTCATCTGTACATTGTTAGGGCCATGATCTTGGGTCAGATATCAAAGGGTGAAAGCGTCTAAAAGGGTGGAATGCCAAGGGTCAGAGCTTTAGACAACAGCCATGTTTTGTGTTTTTTTTAATTGTTATTATTTTTTTAAATATATTTTATTGATTTTTTACAGAGAAGAAGGGAGAGGGACAGAGAGCTAGAAACATCGATGAGAGAGAAACATTGATCAGCCGCCTCCTGTACACCCCGCACTGGGGATGTGCCTGCAACCAAGGCACATGCCCTTGACTGGAATTGAACCTGGGACCCTTCAGTCCACAGGCTGACACTCTATCCACTGAGCCAAACCGGCTAGGGCCAGCTATGTATTTTTTTAATCGAGAAAAGAGTGGTCCCAATAGTGGAGATTGATAAACTGAAGACCTAGGGAAAACCACCATTGGCATGGGAGAGAATTCAGGGAAAAGGTTGGTGGTCTGTACCAGGTGCATCATCAGCAAGGGCAAGAGTTGCAGAAAGGAAGGTTGATTTGGCAGTTCTCTCCCTGCTGTGAAGTTGGCAGTATAGAGAAGCAAGATATGTGCTTGATCTTGTGGAACATTCAGGTTTATGTAAAATAAGTAATCTAGCCAAAGGAGAAATAATCAAAGAAACCTTGGAGGAATCACAGATTTCTGACTCAAGTCAATTCAAGAATTTTTAAATGGCATTAAAAAAAACTGCAGGCACTCTAGGATGCTGAGTTCCACTGAGGATCTCTATTTTGAGAGTATTTTGTAACATGTACGAACAGATTAGCAAATGAAACTATACAACTTTCAAAAACCATTCATTCCACCCCTAGAAATATGCTTTCCACAAATGCCTGGTTGTATACTTCGGTTCTAGAAAAATCTAGTAATTGTACCTTGAATCCTTCAAGTTGCCCTTTTCTCTGCATTTCAGGTTAGACAAGCCGGTCACCCTTCCTTCTCCGTTACTTGAGCCAATAGTTGGCGTTCTTTTTCTTGGGGCTGCTATATATAATCATGCAGGTTGTCATGGCCTAGCATATCGGTGTGTTAAGTATTTCTAAATGTTTTTGAGTATAGGAAGTTCGCAAAAGGGAAGTGCACACTATCAGGCCATGTGGTTTTCTAAACCTTTTTTCAGCATGAAGTCAAGTGGAAGACCTACTATGTAAATAAGTAAAATCCCCTATTTTCTATCTTTTAAACAAATAATGTACTTTGTAGAGCCTAAGTGACTTCTCCAGGGCCACACAAAACCAGCATTGATAGAACTAAAAATTTGGACTGAGTTTTCCTGGTGTAATTGAATTCACTTGCTTTTTCAATAGTGAAAAGGAAGAAGATGATAGTGAAAAAAGAGAAGATCCAGGTGATAATTGGGAAGAAGGTGGAGGTGGTGGTGGTGGTGTAGAAAAATCTTCAGGTCCCTGGAATAAAACAGCTCCGGTACAAGCACCTCCTGCTCCAGTAGTTGGTAATTTTAATATTTCATTTTCATGAAAATGTCTATGTATAATTTTATATGCGATCAGCTTTCAACTAAATGCATGTTTGTGGAGGGGTTAGTAGGGTTCCTTTCCATTCCTGGGAAGGAGGCTTAAAGACTTTCACATTCACAGGAATTTGGAAGTTAAGATACAGGCTTTTCTGTAGACTAGTTAAATTTTTATGTAAACTAACTTGCCAAATTTAGATATTTAAGCATTTCAATTTTAGACAGCTGACTAAGGAATATTGGCTACCTGTATTTTTTTTTTTTTTGAGAGGGAGAGAGAGGCATCGATTTGTTGTTCCACTTATTTTTGCATTTATTGGTTGATTCTTTTTTTTTTTTAAATATATTTTATTGATCTTCCACAGAGAGGAAGGGAGAGGGATAGAGAGTCAGAAACATCGATGAGAGAGAAACATCAATCAGCTGCCTCCTGCACACTCCCCACTGGGTATGTGCCCGCAACCAAGGTACATGCCCCTGACCGGAATCGAACCTGGGACCCTTGAGTCCGCAGGCCGACGCTCTATCCACTGAGCCAAACCAGCCAGGGCTGGTTGATTCTTGTATGTGCCCTGATTGGGGATTGAACCTACAACCATGGCATATTGAAACGATGCTCTAACAATCTGAGCTACTTGGCTAGGGCGAAACCTTAGATCTTACAGTAGTTTTATGACCCATCAGAGGGCCAAAGCATGTAAACAGATGTACAGAAAATAATCACTAAAAGTCTGACACTGAAAAGTATATTTTTTGCCTATCTGACAAAAAAGATATAATTTTTTAAAATATATTTTATTGATTTTTTACAGAGAGGAAGGGAGAGGGATAGAGAGTTAGAAACACCGATCAGCTGCCTCCTGCACACTCCCTACTGGGGATGTGCCCGCAACCAAGGTACATGCCCTTGACCGGAATCGAACCTGGGACCCTTCAGTCCGCAGGCTGACTCTCTATCCACTGAGCCAAATCAGCTAGGGCAAAAGATATAATTTTTATTCATTCACACCATGTGGCTATTGTTGTGGTTGACTGTTGTCAAAGAAGTCAGTGTCCCTGACTAAATAGTCAGGTATGCATGTTTTTAAAATTCTTGTGGCACACTGATTGAAATCACTGCTTTAATATACCCATTATTCTATATAGACCAATATAAACAAAAACAAATCACCCCAAATCTTCCAGAGATCACAGATAACTACTGTCCGTATTTTTGCATTCGTTTTGGCATTTTGCTATGTGTGTTTCTCCATTTAACTTTTTATTTTTTGAACTGTATCTGTAGTGATCCCTACTGCTTGCTGCATTGCTAAACCCATTGCCCAAGTCTCGGTCCTCATCTGATTTGTCCCAGCAGCAGCATTTGCCACAGTTGATCACCCTATTGAAACACACTCTTCTGTTGGTTTCCAGGACACTGAATTCTGCCCCCTCCTTGGTTGGTTCAGTCTCTCTTGGCAGTCTCTCTATATCAGTGGTTCTCAACCTGGGCTGAACATTAGAATCACCTGGGAATCTTTTTAAAATCCTGATTTCTGGGCC